GGGGGGGGTGGGGGGGGGAGCCGCAAAATCTCGAACTTAAAACTTACACTCACTATTTTCTTCGAAAATATACGTGAGTTCCACAAAATCTAAGTTTCATTATCACATACATATCTGATACTAATAAACTAATTTAGATTCTTGTTTCATTATTCATCGAGATTATCATAAATCACAACTTTGTAACTAATTATATATTTCTCCATAGATATTAGAATAAACTAGACTTGGGAATTCATAACGAAAACTTGAGAAGATTTCGATAGAATATTTATCAGATGTAAGACAAACGCATCATCCTTGAGCGATTGACAAATTTCTAATTACCTACGAAGAGTATAGAAAAAAAAACTTTAAAAAACGATCGACGTATCAGGAGAAAGAGTGTAATCAGGTTTTTGTAATATCCAAACGCATTCTAATGCATAGATCTCATTTTGTTTTCGAAAAAGCAGAAGTTAAATTTTCAACAAGTTAAAATATTTATTTAAAGAAATGAAAGTTCATGCATCTTTAAAACATCAGACATGAGTAGAAGTCTTTTAAACAAATATCAAAACAAAAAGAAAAGTTGGTAGAAAAGACTTCTACTCATGTCTTAGGTTATATAGATGCCGAACTTTCATTTGTTTAAATAAATATTTTAATTTGTTAAAGATTTAATTTATGCTTTTTCGAAAACAAAATGAGACCTACTCATTGGAATGTATTGAGATATTGAAAAAAAGTACGAACATGTATTGTCCATCATCAAACAAATAAAATTAGATGAGTGGTCAAGTTGCAAGTAAGACGAAGATGATTCTTGAATATTAAACCTTTTTCTCAAGTAAAGAATCGTTTACGACAGATGAAATAATAAAAAATTATGGTTTTAACGTCAACGAATCACTATTTATGACATTTACAATTCGAAGTTTAAACGACAAGAGCATAATATTACTTTATGACATACAAAATCGTTTTTTCTGATAAACGCGTAATTTGGTCAATATATCATGGTTTAAATGATGTGATATTAAACATCGTTTTAACGGCAGAACAGTGTTTCCTCAACTAGCTGGGATATATTCGGTCATTAGTTACTTTACAATTTGTCAAACAAGTGCTTTTAATAATATCAAAAGAAAATTTGCACAATCATGTTCTTATTGTATCATTTCGATCCATATCATAAACGAGTCTTTGTTCCGAATGACGTAAAGAATTGAAAATTTCATTTTGTTTTTATTATCTAATTTAGCTTATTTACTTGATGATATGGGTGTGGGTAAAGATATTGAAGAACAACAATCATATTCCACACCCACATCCACCCTTAAATTGCATTGTGTACACATTTCTTCAATATCTTATCATAAAGAAAAAAGAATTATAATAAAACAAAGTCGTTTCGTTCTTATCTTCGCTTGTTTTAGTGAAGTATATGTCGTTTTCTATTATCATTTGGTTTTTTAGTTTATTTTAATCTTAAATGACTGAAACTTATCCAAATTGTTGTAACACCACTAGAAGAAAACAAGTGGATTTAGAGAAAGGATCGATGTCTATGTCTAATAACTTTATAAGTTTAAGAAGTAACTTGTTTAACGCTAAATTAAATTTATTTGAAAAACAAAAAATTTTCAATTATAATTTTTCGTTGATGATTACGTTGAGTATTTAAAAAAAAACATTTAGCGAAGTTATTAATTGTTCGCTAAATAGAAGAAGTTTCTCGAGTATACAGATAAAATTTTATATTTATTCCATTGTATTTAATTTCTAAAGGTAGCGAAACATTTTTAACATGGTAATCCGAGGATTGATCTAATTGAGTTTGTTTCAAATTTCACTTTAAATAATTTTTGTTGACTAGATGATGATGTTAATTGAGAAATAGATTGAGTAAGTAAAAAATGACTATCATTGGAAAGTTTTGATTGTTTTAAATCTGTAGCTATATCAAATGCTTGAAATGAACCCAAATGAACATAGACTCTAAATAAAAATAAAAATAAAAATAAAGATTAATATTAAAATAAAACTATTTGAATAAGAATTTATTTGATGATTAGATAATCATCATTTTTTTATTTTATTTTACATGTGTTTTTTTCTTCTTGATGGCAAAATTAAGCTTTAATTAATAGTAGATGTATAATAGTTCTATCATGGGTTTAGAATAATCAATTGAAGTTACAATTCTTTAGTTGCGAATTAACGTTAATCTGCTTACGATAGGTGACAAAGAATTTTCAAATTTATGAATTTCATATAGATGATAATGATGTTAAGCAGAAAAGGTATTCCTGATATTTTTGGTTAATGAAACTTATTCACTGTTATCATCTTGCCTTAATTTATTATAAACAGTACCATTTTCTTTCTTTTTGTCGACTTTTCAGTCATTTATTGCATTCTTAATATGATGTATAGATTTTCTTTAACAAAAAACCTTGGTCAATAAGTTCTATTAGACAAGTAACATTTCTAGTAAATATTTAGTTTATAAATCGAAAGCTATTTCTCTTATAACTACCCAAATAAAAACAATCCATGAACGTGTACCACTGACAAACGATAACTGTTATATATAAGTATTCGAAGAAGAAAAATATTAGAAATAAGTGACAATCATTTAATAAAACCAAGATAAGTATCATTTTGCGTTAAATGAGTTATTACTTCTCAATTCTTAAGAGTATACGAATATAAATTATCATGATAGAATAAGACGAAATAATGAATTAATGAAAACTTTTATTTTTATTTTGTTCTATGGTAAATCATCTAGTCAAATACAAGAAATTAATTAGTTTGAATACCACTAGAGCTTTCGACCTATACTAGGTGTTGTCATCAGTAGAACGGCGTTATTGTTAGGGTGTGGGTGTGAATACAGGGTGCGAATTCACATTCGCTTCTGAAAATTGCCAATGGGCTGCTCTTCTTTCACTGCTGAATTGCTCGTTTGATAAAAACATTTATTTACCTTAATGTTTTAACCTTTGAAACAAAAACCCAGTTGCAAATATAATATTTCGTTAAGTCCTGCTATTTTTGCATTACATTTTTTTTATTGACTAACTTCCTTAGATGCAAAAAAAACTCTCAAAAATATACTTATCTACGCATTTTATCAAGCATACAATGCTTTAGCCTTCTTTTTCGTGTTTTTTTTCATAAGACACTCAAATAAAAAGCGTGAGACGGTTTCTCTTATGCACGAAAATGCATCTAAGACAGCCAATGAATAAACTTTTGGAGTCACAGAAATAGAAGAAAAGAGAAAACTGCTCATTTTAAGTAAGGTGTTCGTCAACAACTTACGATCATTAATATAGGCAGTTTCATTGTGTAAATATTCAAAGAGAGAAAAAAGTAATAATATATCTGAAAGAGGAGTGTATGAATGACAACATCGATATTGTTTCATCTTTATTCATAGATTGCAATATCAATAAATTTAAAAATTCTAAAAACATTTCAATATCCTATGATGGTGATATATTAATATAGTTAGATAAATTTATTCATAACGATGAACTAGATGATCAATACTCGATCTATCAACTTCGTCGCTTGATGAATTCCTTTCTTGTTTTTTACAAATGAAAAAGAATGTCTGAAGTTTATCAATAATTTGAAAACTAAAAACAAATAAATTCTTCTTAGTTACATCCAGTTCATTGGGTAAAGATTTCGTTCCGATTAGGGCGTAGATGTGATTAAGGCTAAAAAAAAGATGCACATCCACATCCCTGTTCAAATGGAAGCCTAGCTATCTGTCTTTTTCCTGCTTTACGTTTGAATAGTAAGATGATTGTTAGATAGAAGAAGATTCAGGTGAAAAATACCTACTTACATAATGAAGAGAACGATTTGGGATATTACTTTTTACTTAATAATTTTCTGATCCTGATTGTCCCATCTTCAAAAATTTTCGTGGTAAATCGATTTTTCGCGAATCGACACTGTCCCGCAGAACTCTAGTATTGATATTTTAACCAATGCATTTGCTTCTTTGTTTCGTCTACGTATTCTCTTCTGCACACGAACGTATGCTTTTTTTTAATATCTACTTTTACGTGCTCTTATCTCGAAAGCCAAAATGATACAGAGAGAAAAACCGTGAGCATGAAGCTTCGCATGTATTGAGGAAGCACGCACTAAAGAATGTATAACGATAAGTAGATGAAAAAAAGGAAGGTCCATGTGTAATTACTTTAACAAAACAGGCTTCATTTTTTGTTTTCTACGAAAGCAAATAATTGCACAATCATATCGTAGTTTGATGAAATATCGTCAACAAACAGAATAATATACAGAAAAAAAAACAGATTTTTAGCAAGCATTCATTCTCAAGAAGCATACGACTCGAAAGCAAGCATTAGTTATGTGTGATAAAACTCCTGCAACTCTTATTACATTACCTGATGGCATTGTTTATCGTATTTTGGACAACCTTGATGAATATACAATAATATTCTCCGCTCGCAATGTTTGCGAAAGATTAAACGCAATTATTAATACTTATCATCGCTATCAGGTAAAATTTCCCATTATCATCTCTTTTTTTGTATTTTGCTTTTTGATGTTAGAATAGTAATTGTTTGAGGATAATATTAATAGTGGAAGACTTGATCTAATTAAAACATGTCACAATTAACATGAAAATTCATCTGCATTTGAAATGCATGAATTAGTTCTAGAACAAAAATACTTATTAACAACTAAATTTTGTTGACGAACTGAGATTATTGACTTCGACAAAAGTACACATTATAAAGACATATTAAACACTGTAAATAGAAAAAAGATTAATTTTTTTTCTGGGCTTGTTCTTTTTTCTTTTGCTGTATTCTCAATAATCAGTCGAAAATTTATCAAGAATAGTTATCTTTCATAGATCATTGATTTAAATATTTAGAAAACTAAGTTAGCTTTCTATGTCATAGATGCTTACAGTCATTCTTTATGATTCAATATCATAATTATAAGATACATTTGTGATGAAATATATGCTGACTTTTGAAAATTATTAACATCAATATCTTGCTCATTTGAATAAATATATAAACATCAACATGTTTTCAAAAATCTTTTATTCATCAATTACAGTACCAAAGTCGACAGAATGAAAAAAATATATATTCAATATCTATACTCTATCAGAAAATCCATTTATTTACATATATCAACTATTAAGTTTTCGAGAATTATTAGATGTACCTATATCCTAGAAATAAAACAAAATACTGTCGATTTAGATATATTTTCTTGAACAAAATGAATATATTCATCACTGATTATTCTTCATGTAACAAATGATAATCTAAGCAAGTTAAACAGTATGAATTTCAAAAGTCTAAACATTAATTAAAAAGAAGAGTTATCAAAAGAAAACTAAACCATATTCTAAGAAACGTTTAAAGAGATATAGATAATGACAAAAACTTTTAACACCATTTTGAAATCATTGTAGTTATACAGGGTGTTCCAAAAGTCCGGACGAAAAAGAAAATTCCATATCTCCACCACTCTTTCACCAAATTAGCTTATTTTTTCCCTGTTGGCAAAGGATAGTTTAAAGTTTTGTTTCATAAGAAAACCGTTAACAGATACTGCTCTGAGCTATCACTTTTGACTTCAATATCGAAATGTACCTGTTTTCGATTTTTAAAACACGACTTTCGCTGGAGAGTCTCCAAGACGATTCATTTTGACCTGAAATTTTGTCCACATTGAGGCCTCAGTTAGACTAGCTTGTGTGAAAAATTTCTGAATTTTTTGATCTAGTCTTTCCGAGATATGAATTTTTCAAAATATCCATTGTTTGCAGAATGTCGATGAAAAAACACCTAAATTTTTTAAAAACTCATATCTCAGGAAGACTACATCGAAAGATTCGGAAATTTTGCACACAAGCTAGTCTAACTGAAACCTCAATATGGGCAAAGATTCAGATCAAAATTCGAGACCATAATTTTATTCCATAAAAGTTGGGGTCATAGAGGGAATAAGTTAGTAAGAATTCTATATCCTGGCGAAAGTCGAACAATAGCATGAGCCCTTTGGTAGTTGTTATAGTCTAGTGGTTCCCTACCACTGGAGAAAATATGGCCTCAAAATCATTTAATCATCTCGGTAAATCTTTAGCGAAAGTGGCTCTTTTAAAAATCGAAAATAGGTACATTTCAATATTGAAATCAAAAGTGATAGTTCAGAGCAGTATCTGTTAACGGTTTTCTTATGAAACAAAACTTTAAACTATCCTTCACCAACAGGGAAAAAATAAGCTCATTTGGTGAAAGAGCGGTGGAGATATGGAATTTTCTTTTTCGTCCGGACTTTTGGAACACCCTGTATATTAATTAGTTAATTAATGTAATAATTGATTTACATTAAGAAGTTATCTTGTTCATCAGTTTTCTTACACGAAAAGGAGTTTCACAGATTAAGCAAATATAAGTTTTGCAAAATAATCAATCGAACATTTCTATCTATGTCCATAGTTTCTTTTGTTCATATGTGTCTATAATGCATGTTGTGTTTGTATAAGAGGTTGGACGACATCCATTTTAGTGGTAGATGAAATGAATAATAGCCATAATATGTATACCTTGCTGTAGTACCTTTGTTCATATGGATCTGCACTTAACATCAATAAAATAATCCACTGTTTGCCAGATTGTGTGTATTCTTTTTCGTCTTTCAAACAGTTCACCTACTTTGATATATGTTACAGAATAGTTTATGTTCCCGAAAACATGAGATAGATCTTTTGTTGTGTTGATAAATGACTATCATAGAAATACAAAATAAAATGTGAGAAAGATTGTTTTCTTTCCGATTTATAATCATTCGATTCTTTGAAGTTCCTTATTTTATGTAGATTTTTCGGTTTTATTTTTGCGATCTATCTTTAAATAAGCTTCTAAGTGATATATAAATGACAATTTTATGAGTATTCATTTTCTATAATTGTTTTCATCCGTAATATGGAACACATAATTTGCCCGCCAATGAATATCTCTGAATAATTTCAAGATACTGGTTTTGGTATTTTTCTTTGTATTTCTATTAATACGTCTTCTTGAAAACTATAACATTTCTTTTTAAAAATTTTCCAACTTTAATCTATGGAATTTTTATTCGCATTTCACTAAACATTTTATTTATATGGATACCGATGTCGAATTACTTTTACGAAATTAAGTAGTCAATTAAAAAAGAACTACAGCGTCGATTATCGAGCACATATTGGACGGAGCCTTATCATTTAAAGTTTTTTGAAAATTCCTATTGATATCATACTTAAATTAAGAACCCTATTTGTAAACTTGGGCTTAATAGATGCTGATAAAAAGAAAAATCCTTTTTTTTTCAAAAAATAACCATCACCTTTACAATTACACTCCGATATTCATCCACTTTTTTGTACAAACATTTCTGTTCCCGAAAAAATGCTTTTTCTTGTCTAGACATCTGTCAACAAAAAATTGACTGCTTTGTTTTTCTTTTCCTATTCATCATAAAATATCGGTGTATATTTATTTTCTAATAGGCAATCACAACGCTAAGTTTCTGTAGAGAAAATATTGGACCTGCTGAAGCACAAAAAGTGGCTAATGAATTAATCAATAATACGGTAAATATCTTCCTCTCTTTCATAAATCTATTCCCACTGTTTTCACACAGACAATCAAATTGCTAGACCTCCGTGAAAATGGAATTCAAGACGCAGGAGTACACTATCTTGCTAATGCATTAAGAATCAACAAGGTAACTCTCATTTCTTGTTGATGTCTCTTATAATTTCTATCTCTGGTCTTTCATACAGACACTCGTCACACTACATCTGTCTAAAAATGATATTGGACCTGTAGGGACAAATCATCTAGCTGATGCATTACGTCATAACACAGTAATTTTCATTCTTTCTGTTCTAGTTTGCATGTTTTCATCTAATTTTTTCCTCACACAGGGAATACAGACACTCCATCTGGGTAGAAATAAAATCGGAAACGAAGGAGCAAAAAGTATTGCTTCTGTGTTACAAAATAATACGGTGACTCTCATTGTCTATTAATTCCTTTCATATGCTCATGACTAATTTTTTTTACAAAGACACTCAGAACACTCGATCTCTGGGACAATGGAATCGACGATGTTGGCGTTCAATTTTTAGCTGATGCATTACGAAATAATACGGTGAAACAGCTTTTTTGTTCATCTTTCTCATGTATCTATCGATCCTTTTTCACATAGACACTTGCTACGCTTGATCTGCAAGGTAATAAGATCACAGATCGCGGAGCACAATATTTAGCTGATGCATTAAAAACTAACACGGTGATCTTCATTCTTTCTTTATTTGTCTTAGAAAATACCTTTTCATATAGGCACTCACAAAACTCATTCTGACGAAGAGTCAAGTCGGACCTAATGGAGTACAATATCTGGCTGATGCATTACACACAAACACGGTAACTTTTTTTGTCTCATAATCTCTCTAATATACTCATATGTACTTTTACATACAGACACTTAACACATTAGATATTTGTGAAAATCAAATTGGAGACGAAGGAGCACAACACCTAGCTAAGGCATTAAAAAATAATCAGGTAAGTCCCATTTTATCTTCAGCTGTTTCGTATTTCCATGTTTTTTCTTCACAAAGGCACTTACTACATTATATCTCTCTGAAAATCAAATCACAGACAAAGGAGCACAATATCTAGCTGAGGCATTAGAGAATAACATGGTGATCCTCATTTTCACTTCATCGCTCTCATATCTTCATCTTCACTTTTTCATATAGAAAGTCACTGGACTGTATTTACACAATAACAATATCGGTGAACAATTTAGAAGTCGTTTTGACGCATTCGCCGATCGAAATAGTCGACAAACTGCGCATTGAACATTAATAATAACTTTGGTGTAGTACAAGACTAAAAGAACTTGATGATGGGATGTGTGATTGAGGATGAGAGGGTGTGGGTGTGGGTGTGGGTGTGGGTGTGTGGGTGTGGGTGTGGGTGTGGGGTGTGG